TTCTTTCTCTTCTCTTCTCTTCTCTTCTCTTCTCTTCTCTTCTCTTCTCTTCTCTTCTCTTCTCTTCTCTTCTCTTCTCTTCTCTTCCTCTTTTTTTTTTCCTTTCTAAAGGATAGATGACTGAGCTGGACAGGTGGGTATGCTGTGTTTATGAACTCTATGTTGTTTAATAAGAATTTAAAATGCACAGCCTCAAGAATTCAAAGGCTGTGAAGAACCTCTGTTGGTCTTCACAATTTTCTAGGTAAAGAAGTAGGAGTTGTAGAGAAAAATCCTTATGTTTTCCATGTTGTAGCACATTTAACTGACACGCTAATAATGTTTAGCCATGTTTTTTAGAGCCTGTGAAAGCACCTTTAGGAAATATAGAAATAGAGAACACATAAAGCACAGGCAGATACAGCAAATCTACTGAGGGCTCCTCATCTATGCGATGGCAGTTTCACACAAACTGCAATGGCTCTTTTTATCCAGGGATCCACAAAGTTCCTGCAGGGAGACAGCTCCATCCAACAGATAGGGTCCTCTGAATGGAAGTGCGGCCAAGGTATAGGCTGGTCTCTTTTTTGCCTGGGCTGGGCAAAATGGAGGGGGAAAGGGGCTCATAGAAGATAGCAGAGCAAGGCTCTGCACTCTAAAACATCCCACTGCTCAGCCATGGCCCTGGGCAGCAACTTCCCCTTGTGGTACCCTGGGACAGGACTCCATCACAGGTGACAGTCTCCAACACGTCTTGGACAAGTATCTCCCTGTCTCCTCTGCCAAACAGGGCACCACATCTCAGGCTATAGAAACTTATGAGTAAGACAGGTCTGCTTATGGTTAAGAAATAGCAAATTGGCGAAGTGGGTTGGGAACACTGCTGGCATTTATATCAGTATATGAAATCAAGTGTCACTGTATCTCTCCCAGCACTGATTTAGGGTGTTGGAAAATCAGAATCTCATCTGGAAGTTATGATGCTTTCCTAATCTCTTAGTATCTCATATTCCCATTAGACTGAAATGTATCAACTTGCTTTCTGGAATAATGTTACTGTTTTGTTTGAGATATCCGTATCATTACTTATAAAAAAGTTTGTGATTTAAGTATCAAAATAGCTAAATGTAGAAAGAAATCAATGTATCCCCTAAAAAGCAGGGCTGAAATTTAGGAGACAGTGCATATCTCTGTGGTGAAGAAAGCCCAGGAGTGTAAATTCCAACCATGATGTTCAGGATATTTCCCACACTAATTCTGCACAAACAATTTTCATACTTGACAGCCTTATACCATTGTTTTCATGTACATTAGCCTCAGAAAACAAAACAAAACAAGAAAATATAGCCATAAACTCTGCAGCTTACCAGAACATAAGTTTCCCTGGTGATATGGGCAGGAAAAGTCATCCATTTCACAGTACTTGCCATATACCTTGCCTAGCTTGTTTTTGTAGCAGAAACATTTTCCATCTATGCAATTTCCTTGACCACTGCAGATAGGTTGGTCCTGGTGTTGCCTGCACCTCTCTGACGGAAGCGTGTCTTCTCTGTTAGAGCTACAGTTATTGTCACTGCAATGGGACTGTTTGCTATCAGAAGTTTCATCAGCCCATACTCTTTTGTGGTTTGTACTGTCTCCATATTGGCAGGCACAGCTTCGCTGCACATTAACAACAGTGGTTTCATTGAAACCAATAGGTTTAAGTATGGCATATTTTCTCCCTCCAGTTGTATGACATCCTTGCATTGTGACTGATACATTGAAAAGTACCTAAGAAGAAATAAAGACAGGTTTTATATTTTTATTATTTCCTTGTTTAAGTTTGCTTTAAATTTTTAACACATAAATAAAGCAGAATCTCGGATTGTATATGAATGTGCCCTAGTTAATAACAGCAAAGTACACACTGGTCATTTGTCAAAAATCATATTTTAGTAATGGGAGGCATCACAAATACAGTCAAAATCCTAACAATAGAAGATTGATAGCAGTCTACTTTTCAAATTAAGATAGCATAATTGCAAAAGACAAGTTTAATACAAGTTCAATGGACATAGAATCACCATCATCATCCTCCTGCTATTATTTAATGTGTAAATTCTGTTATATCATACTCTAATGAGAATTGGAACTAGATTGAGCAAGGCAATAAACAAACAAAAACAGAGATACCCTTCATAAAAAAAATCTATAATGAAAGTTCTTCTGCTGAAATGGTCATGAACAGAGAAACCACACAGGTTTTTTTGGATAGCCCTATCTACTCCTACTAAAACACAGAAACTGGCTCACACCCTAGCACCAAATTATTTTTTGCAGTTCCTACAATGAAGATGGAGAAAGAGAGTCTTCCTGCTCTTGCTGTGGTCCTGGGCAGATCAAGTTCTACTTCAGAGTGGACCTGGTGCCTAGCTCCTGGCCATATCATGGCCATTACCACCATGCTCCAGGTCCTCATCCCAGCAGTGCCCACTGCAGCAGCAGCTCCCATGGCTTTCCAGAATACTGGCATAGGACCCCAGATCATTTTGGTGGTTAGATGATTGCCACAGAGTTTGCATCAAACACCACCAAAACTCTTTGACAGCTCTGACATAGGTGATACTTCCACTGCATACCAATCTTCTATTTCACAATTGTTTTTTGGTTTTTGACCAGTAGGCCTCTGACATGGTATTCTCTCTAAGGTTATAAATTTGTGCAGCCTACTGATGGAAAACAACTCTTTCTTGCCTCGTCACAGAGAAAATATAACCAAGAAGAAGAGGTAAGAAAGTAACCCAAGAGAAGCAAATATCTCTACTCTTTACCACCAAAAATCTCCAAATAAAAAAAAGAGAAACCCTGAGAAACTGATTACATATGAGGTTGAAACTACCCGCAAAGACTAAGGCCATTCATCTCTCGTCACTGTCTCTCCCTCCCACTGCGCCCCCACACGAGAACAGCCGAGCCCCTGAGGACAATGGTGGCTTTGTGGCGGTGGGGCTGCGGCTGCCTACACGGACAACAGGAGAAGAATGCTGTGCAGAAGCACGCACTTAATGTCATATCGAGGGGGCACACAGGCTTTATCTCACCCTTTGCTTTTCTTCTTGTTTCTCAAACGCACCACTACACACATAACCCCCCTCAGTTGCCTACGCTCTCCATGCATGGGATTTCTTCCCTTTGGTTACAGGACAAAAGTGTGGCTGTGGGGAAAATAATTCATACAGCAGGTGCGTATCACACAGGGAGGACAGGATGCAGCTAGGGAATGTTTTTTATTCAACACAGCGCCCTGCTAGAAAACATCATCTTCATGTTCAACACAGTACTGCAGGAATGGCAGGGAGATGGGAGGGAAGGGCAAATCCTGTCTTGCATATTAGTAGTGAAATATGACGAGTCTGAACAGAGCACTAGAAAGATTATACCTGTTGAGACTAAATAATTACAACATCATGAACACTGACACTCACTAATAGCCAAGGTTAGTTTTGCACCCCGAAGAGGCCACGTGATTATTCCAGAATATAATACACTTTGTGTTTTGGTAAGAAAGTGAAGGAAGAAGGATTAGACAATGAAAGGAATGTGAGAATTAAGGAAAAGCATTTTGCCTGTAAACAAATACTGAAAGAAGGATTTATGGTAAAAATAAATTAATCTCTTAAGGATGGTTCATTTTCAACAGCAGTAGAGGTTTAGGACCACATGCAATCTTTTACAATCAACTGGCTTGGCTTTTTATTAAAAAGAAACAGATATAAATATTTTTCTTTTCATTAAACAAAACAAATTCCAATCCTATTTCTTATGACATGCACAGGGAACAACACTGGAGAAGAGATGAGTTAAGCAGAAAAACATAGCAAATCTCCCATAAGCTGTAGAAGTTAATCAGCAGCATGCAGACAAAATTCAGAAGAGCATAAAATACATTAAAATATACATTACGATTCACACATTTCAGCTACTGAATTGTTTTTCTATTTCTACACACAGATGTAAGTACAATCACACCAGCTGAGACATATGTACATGTCAAGCAGGAAAGAACTCCTTGACCCTGCCCTCCAGAAAACAGAGACCTTTTCCTGGCAAGCTAAAGGAATTACTCCAGTGGTCCAAGCAATTAAATAAATATGTGAGGCACAGAGAAGTTTTTCTGGGAAGAAAACCATGTTCTTTACATTAGCCAGACATCTTCCCCTGCATTTTCATGGTGCATGATGCTCCGTTTCACTCAGTAGGTGGCAGAAATCCAAATGGGAATAAAAATTTTATTAATTTGATTTATAAAATAAACTAATTATCCACAACCCTGATCGTGCATGAAGACTACTAAAGCAAGAAGAGAGAAAGCTTGTGTCTAGTACAGACCCAAGGAACACAAATTCCAGTGATTCTTTTTCACCGGGTGATTATCTTTCAACCTCTTTACGTACAGATTTCACCACAATGACCATGGTTGGTTGTGCCCAGTGGAGGACAAAGAAGGAGAGTTTTAACGGACGTTAGCTTTCAAGAAAAGCTTTGAGCCTTAGTTCCATGGGATTAGTGAGAATTAAAATAAGATTCGGGACAAATAAACCCAGAGAATAATAGAGAGTCTGTGATCATTAATCACATAAATCTATTTTCAGTTTAAGTAAATCCCTAGAAGATTTCACACCATTGAAACCCAACCAAACAGAAAAATAAGTATTCCAGTTCCTTGAGGAATGAAAACTATCAACATACTTCTTTATTATATCCCACATTTTTACATCCTTCCATGCCTGTTTTTTCACTTCCATCAGGACAGATTGCAGTGATATTGAAATTAAGACCTTGGATTTGGTTATCCACTTGAAGTTTCACTTCAGAGATTAGTTTCTGTAACCAGAAAACAAGTTTTAGTCACATTGCATCTCAAAATATAATGTACATTAGTGACTACCACCAAGTATGGCTACTATGTCTGACTAAAAATGAAGAAAGCTTGTCTGTGTGAATAAAGGAATGAATTAAAGCATTGTTTCCTGTATAAAGACCCGATTACATTCCAAATATACACAACCAGTGAACTGGCAATTCTGAAAAAGAGGATTAGGTTTTGCAGATAAAAATGTTTTCAGCTTTTCTAAAATGGTTTTGCAACTGTATTTTTCTCAATTTGAAAATCTATTCTAACAACTGTGTGCAACAAAAACTGCTTGTTGTGTGAGTCTACACTGACTTTTAGCCATACATCTAAAATACAACTGTAAACATACATACAACTATTGTTACCCAACAAAAGAGGTTCCTAATTGATGTGACACGACTTTATAAACTTCTGATATTTTGCATCTGTCTTGGAAAAGCTTCCTCTGAACAAACCTTACAGTGATCTAAAGGCTACTGGGATTATTCTTACTGATTTATTTGGGTCAGCTAAGACCACATAAGTCAACAACTGGGTGATTCCCATTAGGGCATTTTGCAATAAAAAACAATGAAAAAGCCACCTACTTTGTATCTTGTATTTACTACACGCTCTAAAATCCTGCTTCCTTCCAAGAAGGAGTATTGCTTCTTGACCTTTTAAAAATTTATTACAGCTCTTACAAACTTATGAACTGAAAATTGCACAAAGAGATTTTTTAAATTTGTGCCATATTACTCTTAAAAAATTAGTTTATGTGATATTTTTACTGCTATAAATGGAAATGTAATTAAATTATTCTGAACATGTTTATCTTAGTAACTTTTTGAAAATTAGTGACTCATCTTTGGCCTTATAGCCAGGGATTTTCAGCAAGGGTTTTCCATAACTAAGCCTAAGGTTTCCCTGCCTAGAAAAAGAGTACAGGAGGCCCACTGCCATCAAATATCAACACTAAATATATTTTCTTATCTAAGTCCTTTTTCTTTCAAAAAAGCAATACATTCAAGTCCTGTTCACCATGCGTTTGTATATTACAAGCCCCTAAAACTATGATAAAATTCTCAAACTGTCAAATACAATGAAGTTTAGGATGAGAAGGAAGACACTGTCTAAAAAATGAAAGTAAGGCAAGAGCAAACTGGGAGAGGCTGAACCAGGAAAGTCCCACCGAAGTCCTATTGAACTAAATCGCTATTTTGTAAATTTTTACTTCCTCTCCTTGAATGTTTGCCTTGCACCGAGTAAGAACCGTGTTGCAATTTAGGATGGACAGTGTAAAAGTGCCATACAAAAGGACTAAAATCTTCAGATTTTTTTGCCAGCAACTTCCTGCAAACCTCCATATTTAACATGAGATTTCTCGACCTTATAAGAGGAAGCACAATATCAGTGAGAACATCTCGGCAATTTGACTACACCTAATCTCCTCTGCTTTTGAATGTCTTTGCCTTCTGCCTTTCCAGCATGACAGTGAGAAAAACGTGTGCAAAAGCACTCTGTTGACTAGGAACAGACACGGGGGCTGGCTCTTCATTATAACCCATTTGCTGAAAGTAAACTGCCTGATTTTGATGATTAACTGAGTAAAATGGATAATTTCAGCCTTCCAAATTCGACTAATTAAAAAAAAAGTGACATGAGGATACACTGCATATAGTTTTGCAGCTGAGTTTTCAACTTTTTGAACCCGCATGTTTGTGCAACTGCACTACTTAACAGCATTCAACCATCTAAACCATCATGATGATCATTTTGATATTGCTCTGTGGGCTCCCTGTGCTCTAGTACATCAAATATATAGCACTTGGCGTCATTTTCAAAGCTGTTTATGCCTGCTCTTTCCTTCACTATCAAGATGCCTATTTCTTCTTTCAAACTGCCATTCTCTGTCAACCATTTGTGGAAAATGACTTTATGCTCTTTCCCATACTATTACTTTCTCTTTCCCAAACAATTATTTTCAATTGAGTACTCCAGGCAAGTTCACAAAGCAATGTCCATTGTTCTCTCTCAAATCCCTATCAAAACTCTTCTTCAATGCCATGCCTCAAAATGCCAAGTCATTACACTCCTTTGTGCAGTGTAAATATTGCTTTTCACAATATCCACTGTTGCCAAACTACCTTCTCGTAAATTCCCATCTGCTGTCTGCTTTTTAAAGATTATACTGCAAAACCCTTCAGATACTGCACTGTGGTTTTGCTCTGAATTTATATGGTGCCTAGACAGTGGTGTCTGGTCTGTAACTGAAGATCTAGGGTGCCAAAATTCAAATAAATCAGACATTTCTTTTGAAGTTACATAGCAACAGGTGCAGAGAATCGAACAGAATATTTAGAAGCACCCTTAGAAAGAAAAAAGCACTAGCTCTTGGCTTTGAGACTCCAACAGCTGGGGAATTTGAGAGCTATGGTGAGATAATGCCACCTATCAACTTGGACACTAAGAAAAGTAGGGAATGTATCCTCATGGACTTTGGATGGAAACTAAGAGCCTGGAAATTGAAGATTCAGGCTATGAAAGGTGAAAAATGTCTGTACAAATATGGCATACACCATTGTCACTGTCATCATACCTGATAGGCTTCTACCACCAAGTCATTGAGATTTGCTGCTTGTGATTCTATTTGTCTTGCAACAGTACCAGGTAGCAGAGGTAACAGATCCTATGAAAAATACAATCATTTATGCATGGTTTTAATTTTCAGTATAAATATTGTGCTTTCAAAACTAGAAAAAGAAATCAGGTTTCTAACCTACTTTATACCAATGAAACTGGCTTCCTTGAACTGCAAAAATAACATTGATGTTATTGTCAATCAATTTTTCAGAGAGCTGCCCAAGAGACGGATGCTCCTGCAACATACAAGAGAAAAGAGAAGACTGCATATTAGTAGGGGAAAACCTTATATTTCACATATGACACATTACAGGGTTCCAAAACCACCCCAATCTTAACTCCTAAATGTACAGAGAAATGCTAGACCTACATTCAAAACAAGGTGGTCCCATCTGAATAAACAATAAAAAAAAAATCATCAGGGTATCAGCCAGGCTTATCTGTCACCAACTATGCAGGTCTGCTGCATAGTGGGAGGACTAACTTACACAGTATTATTTTGTTAGTTTGAGTCTGATGCTTAAGAAATACAGATTTGATGTTGTCCATGGTCCATCTAGAAGATTAACAAGATTCCTAGGAACGACAGATGGGTTCTCAAGCAAAAGTCAGGGAGAAAATACAACATGAAGGACTGAGATGAGGTGTACTTTTGGGAACAGCAAGGAGAGTAATTAAAAAAATTTTTTTTCTCAGAACTGGATTTTGGCACCAGAGATCATACACGTCAGCTAAATGCAGCCACGGGGTCTGGTTCTAGCACTGTCAGTATTCCATAGTTATCTCACTTACAACTGACAGCTCTGTCCTTTGTATGCACAAGACCTGTCTCCAGTCCTCATCATGATGACCTGCAACATTTTCTTAACCACACTTGTGCTTGAAGAAGGTGACATAAGTTTCACATCTTTCCTCGTAACGCATTGCTCTATTTGGTGAAGTACCCATGACAGCATTTCCTGTGCCAGTGATCTGCCCTTCTACACTTTTCATTGAGAGATCTGACACGGATTTGAGAACAAGAGGTGCATTGCATCTCTTCATCCAAGGACTGGAGAAGCTCGAAGGTGTCTGTGTGGCCCCAGTGGCCTTTGTACACCTGGATTATGTGACATCTCTCCAGCTCCAGTACTCTAAAACAAACTGTATCTGAAAATCACTACTTATTAACTATACATAAGTGACTAGTTCTCAAAAAGTAAATTTGACACTTAAAATTCATGACTAAACAGAGAGAGGTGACTGGGGCCTGTAATTCCTCTTACAGAGATTTCATCTGGACACCTTCACTTATGTCAGTGACTTCAACCTGTTTCCCCCACATACTTCCACTGTCTTTCTCTTCCTGTTATTTTTCACCATCTGCCCCATACTGTCTCTCTCTTGCACAAACAGTCTGTTTCCCTGCACCATTCTTTTCTCCTTGGATTGCCCCTGTTATTCAAGGCACCCTGCAAGTCAACACCTCTCCTAGCAGTAATCAAAATAGCAAGACAGCTGAGACAAAGTTATGCAAGGGGGCAAAATCCATTTTCCATCATATTGCACCATTATAAAGGGCCTTGTACAGAAAGAACAAAGGAGTTTCTTCCAGCAGTTTGATCTTTGCCGGCATACATGCCTCTCTCAACTTTTCTACCCATTGGTAAGAGATTATATTCCCTAAGGTAACTGATAAAAGGCAGATAACACAGCAAAAAACAGGCCTGCTTAGAGCTGAAGAGTGTGCCGTGCTCACTGGAGAGAGAGCATGTATTCCCACCACACAGCAGTCGTGAGTGAACTACAGCATCAGTAGCTTTACTGGCATTTTCAGTAGTCTACAGCACAGTCCTAAGCCCTCCTTCCTTCTCCATGACCACAGAGCTCAGTGGTGGGGCCTCCATTGTGCTTCACAACCCTACAGGCCACACACAACGGGCTGGCAGATCATGGATACCCACTGGTCCCAGGACACGGGCGAGCGAAGCCACATGTTCTGCAAATACCTCCCGCTGTAAATGTGTGAATGACAGGAACAGTATTGAGGGATCACAGATGGTGGCAAAATAAGTCAGTCTTCCTGCTTGACACATGACACTAGACCTGTTTGAACTCCAGCAGAGGCCCCTCAACATCTCTGCAGCTAGTAGCAGAATTCTGGAATCACTGGTATCAGAAGCGGCTTTGTAAGGCTTCATGAAACAAAAACCTATTCAAATGGACCTTACTGAAGTCAAGAGATGACATCCATAGATGTGCAAGAGCTGCAGGGACCAGATCCTCAGATTACCTAGTCTGCTCCCATGTACAGCTGAACTTTCATCTACTCATGAGTTCTAACTCACCAGACTGTCCAGCTTGGCAAGTAGTATGTTAAAGTCACACTTCGGATAAGAAAGCAATAGTTTCCTTTTATTAGAGGGGAGTTAAAAAAAACCCCAAAGCATCAACAGACCCATACTATCTCTTCGATTTTAAGCATGTAAAGAGATGACATAAGGTACCAGAGGTCACTCATTGATCCTCATTTTATTTGCTGTGAAAACCTTGCTATACTTTATGTATTTTTATCTTATTCTTCCCACTACTGCTCAGATGCACGTACTTTCATTTTAGATCATCTTTCTTGTTTCAATTACATCATTCATTTTATTATTTTAACCTACCGTGTTAAACTGAGAAGATAGCTAATGTAGATGAGAAGTACTTCAGACATGGAGTTAACCAAGTACAGATCTAATTAAAATGGAATAGATTTCTTTCCTGTCTTATGCTTTTTTTGCTGACCTCTCTGTGACTGCTTAGCAAAAGTTAGAAAGAAACATGCAGAAAAGTGACTAAGTGGAAACATTTCTGATGTAAAGGCTAAGCTTATGGAAATAAATAAAGCACAGTCTTCTAAACTGGCACAAGGAAGAAATAAAAATGTGCCAAAATGCTATCTTCTGATGACTACAAAAAGCTAAGAATCAAAGCATGAAAATAATGTGATTAGAGAAGTCTCTTTAATTTACGATAGCCCAACAAAATTGTATTGATAAGGAAAAAACCCCAAAAATATATTTCATATTATGTATTTTCTAAAAGGCTGACAGACTTTCATGATATTTCATTTAAACACCAAACAGTGTTCCCCCCCCAATTTATTTGTTCATTTGAAGCTTCTGTAGGGATATCTATAAATAAAATAATCACATATACTACAGACGAGAAGAAAAAAAAGCAGGAAAACAGTACATCTTCCCTTACAGACACTACTGTGTTACCATATCAAATCTACTCCAGAAAATATGCAGTGCTGAGAAAGATTTCCATTATAACCCTTTTCTATTAATCAGTGCATGCCCACATGTGAGCATGCAAGAATTAGCCCATATTGGAAGAAAAAAAAGGTTATCAGACAGAAAATGGGTCTAAATGTGCCACTACAGATCTAAACATCTTCCAAGGTCATTTAATTTGGGGGGCTACAAAAAAAATCATATTTCATAAAATGCATCAATACCAGTAATCATGGAGATTTCTTATTCCACATGGGATAATAAAATCATGCTCTTTCAAACCAGAATCTAGAATATCAGTAAAACACCTTTTTTTTCAGTCAGCCATCAATCTATTGCAGCTTCTTAGATAGAGGTTCATTAATTTTGTCTGTATTTTACCCTAGTGAGTTTCTCCAGTTGTAACGGAAATTCATTTCCGAAGTTCGACAGAAAATAAAAATAGTGTGGGTTTTTTTTTTCTCAAACAGATAATGTCTTTATTACCAAAGGAATGCTGAACATCACAAAAAGATTTGTACCTTTAGCAATTTTTTAATAAGCAGAGCAAAATTACTCTCATTTATAGCCCAGCAACTAGGAGGAAAAAAAGAAAAAGAAAAACAGAGTATGCTCTGCTCTTGGAAAGTTTTGGGATTATTTGCTTTAAGTAGAATAAGGGAAGGGTTTGTTTCTATCCCAAGGACACTGAACAGACTGACTAGAGTGAAATAAAAAATCCTGACATCAGTGAGAGAATATGGATGCAAGAATGTCAGATAATCGGAAATCCAAACAACCTTCCCGTTAGCACACGCTCATCTCCCTCCTCCACTCAGCAAGGTCCCAAACACCCACCAATTCCCAGAAGCCTCCCATATTTCATGATCACACAACATTCAGCAGCCTCTTCCTGCTGCTCCATCATCCTTGTAAACAACAGTTGCTGGGATTAAATTCAGGTCTAGACTCACACATAGCCCTCACTGACCTCACCAGCACATTGCTGGCTGCAGCTGAATGCAGGCTCTATACTTCAACTAAGTGCAGCTAGCACCAAGAAAAAAGATTGTAGGATGCTCTAATTATACCACAGTTCATATTTCTGCTATCTGGGAATTAAATGGTAATTAAGTAGTGATTCACGTTTCTAAAAGAAACAATTAATATTTATTTAAGAAAATAACCAGAGCAATTGAAACCTATAATTCTTAGGCAAAAATTCCTGTCTTCAGTCATTTGCAACTACTTTATACATTATTGAAAACAATATTTTGAAAGCTAAAAATATTTGTTGAAGGCATATTATTTTGTTACAGCAGATTTGATATAACTTTTTGCACAGTATGTATTACTCCACATTGGTTTTATACTGTGAAATATAAATGCATTTAATGCTAGTCCATCATGGTTGAAGTAGCTCATTGCTGTAGTATGTCCCCTGCTTTACCAAACCTTTTCAACCAATACAACTCTGCATCTTCTGACCATAAACCATAAGCACTACCTCTGTGTAACTAGCACAACTGTGCAATTCTTACATATTACCAGCTTCTATTTGTGCAAAATATCACACCAGACACTTCTTACTCTTATTGTATATAAAACGTGTGATTTTTATGGGATGCTAATAAAAAACCAGACCAAAACCAGTCACATATCCTCCTCCACTGTACTGTTGTCTCAGACTCCAAAATATTTTATCCCAGACAAAAAGAATGTCAATATTTCCAGGTGATTGATTCTTCATTTCAAAACTTGTCTACCTGGAAAAATATTATTCTAATGACTGAAATAAAAGCAATGCTTTAACAGCAGTCTAAAAAACCTCCTTTACACAGTTTTACACTGCTTCCCTTAAGGCAAAATCTATAGCATATACCTTACCATACTCGTAGCTTTGACATACACATTATCTTTCAAATGACAGTTTCCATCATGAGGAATTACAATTCCTGCTAATTTACTGTCAAGGGCCAGATGGGAAGTTTGATCTGTCATCACAAGAAGCAGTCGCTTTGCTTCTTTACGCCATCCAATATGGCTCTAAAAAGAAAAAATTAGGCATAAGAAAGCATATTTATTTCTAAAATAATCAATAACAAAATGAAATATTAATGTGAAAGTCTACTTTCAGATATTACACTGCTTAGCAGCACTGAGTTTAAACCAGGCTATGGAAAACATTTTTTGTGGAAATAGGTATAATGTTCTACATCTGAAAACTTCCACTGCCAGTCAGAGATCTACTTACCACTTTGTTTTTTCCCACTTATGACTTTCTTTGCTTTTTAAAGAAAGAGCTCCCAAAATACATACAAGTTATGCATTATATAGTGGGTGTTGGTAAGAGCTGCCACATTGTGTGGGTTACTATTACATACAAATACAAATGTATAGCATTTGTAAAATTCTCTGGGATCCAAGAAAGCATTACAACCAGCAAATCTGCATTCATACTTACTGATACTTGGTGCCCTCTCCTATTTTTACTTTGCACTTATTTACTTTATATTCTTACCACTCTGTAATTTCCTTTTCCTACATAAATTTCCAGACAGGACATTAGCATATGATTAAAAATCAATAAACTGAAGTTTGAATGTCTTCATGCACCCGCAATTGAGAAATTCCTTATTATGCAGCAAAATACTACATTTGTCCACTGTCTTGAGGGATTAATAGTAAAGTTGCACCCTCAAGTGTGAATTTAATGTCTTTCAGAAATTCAGTGATGTGAAGGATGTAGGAGAGCAAGTGTAAACTGATTTAGCTGCCATATCCGTATTTCCAAAATATTTATCTCCCTGCTTATAATCAAACGTCTGAGGCACACATGAAACACTTAATATGCTTTTTCATTATTCCCTCTCTCAATTATTCCATCTTACATTCTTCACTACTTACATTTTTCCTGCCTTTCCTCCTTCCTTTTTCCTCCTTCCTATGACACTATCTCATCTCTACCATTTCCTTTAGCACTTCCAAGTGTCTTCCATCTCACATGAAATGTTTATCTGCCAGCCATGCTTCATGACTTATTCTCTACCTTCCTTTCTTTGCTTTGCAGAGAGTGATTTAGGTCCCTTCTCAGGCTCATTCCCTGCTAGCTCTGAATGGGGATCAAATATTTCATACAAGCAAGGATAACAAGTACAGAGGGGTGTGGTGTCTTTTCCACCTTATGGGGTAGGCATCAGCCTCCCTCAGCCACTCCTAGAGATCATTCATCTAAAGAAGGGGTATTTTAAATTTTATTTATAAACAGGTTTTATCTTAAATAATTCCAAATTCTCCCCCAGCAAGAAGTAGAAACTTCTTGCTCCTAAGACTCTACCATTTGACTTTGTTACCCTGAGACTTGTTTAGTTTTCAGTAGTCCTGTGAGGAGGAGGGAGTCGGACTCTATCCTTATAGGTCTCTTCTGACTTGAGACATTCTGTGATTCTGTGACTCCTATCTACATATGTCACAGCAATCAAAATTTTAAAGTAACTTCATACCCTAACCTGCCACTTCTTGTAACAGGGGATATATTGGTTAAAGCAAGATGGAGCAAGTTATAAAGCTCTATTGTAGGCAAAATGAATGCACATTAACATAATTTATAGTTCATGATGGTCATTATGAATTGCACATTGTTCTCATCCATTTTGCTGCACAATCCAGTTAGCAGGAAAGCCTTCCTATTCTCATGAATGTTTCCATTCTATTGTTTTCAGAAGCATACATTATTCTAGAATTCTCATGTCATAAGTGTGGAATGTGACCAATGGGAAATACTGGATTTTAAGGAATTTTTTTAAAGCTACACAGTAATTTTTTGAAGCAGCTAGGATCACAGTGTCTATGAGGAGTGGCTACCTGCTTTACAGTTCATCAAAATCTGAAAAAAAAAATTGGACCAACTATTCATCTTTAGCTTAGCTTGGATTACTTTTTGTCCTTGAGTCATTGTCCTGCTCCAAAAAAAAAATGATGTGAAGATGGACAAGGTAAAAGAATTGTCCAGACAACACTCCAAGACATGAGAAAGATGCCAAGCCTGTGATTTGAACAGGAGTTGGATTACTTTAGGAGGACTGAAAGAGTATCATATAGAGCATTACCAGCCAACTTTCAAAATTGCTATTGCATTACTATGAAATAGAAAAAACCAACATCCAAAATGGCTCTCTAGAGCAAACCAAACTCCCCTTATCTAGTATGCTTATAGCTTGGGAACTACTGATGCAGATCTTTTCCGTCCTTTTCTGCATGGGAGAAACTGTGATGAAATTTTATCAATATACAGAAGTTAATTTTTAGCTGATTTGTATTGTTTTAAAATAAAAAAAATCTTTAAAAGCTGAGATAACATCGAAGTTCTGTTCTCCTTACAGGAAGGTATGTAGCTGTCCTTCAGTTCTCAAGTACATTCTTAAGCAGAAGAAATGTCAAATGGTATGTCTTCATTTAGGAACACAAGGAGCACTTTAATGATTTTTGAAACGAATTATGTAATTGAGTGAAATTAATACAAGTATCTGTTCAAGCAAGAAGCAGTTGCTTTCATCCTCCATCCCATGTTGGCTGGTTAAAGCCAGAATTTGAAGATCATTAACACTGAAACATGTTCCCTTATGCGCTTCTTTGCCAGTTTCAATGGGAAATTTATAACTAAGGGGGAAATATGGAAAAGGAGGAAGAAATCTTAGTATCATTAGGCATAGAACTGACATTTTGAATTCAGGAACACTGAGCACCATTGTACCTATATGTGTGTGTATATATATATATATATGTATGTATATTGCCTGAACCACTATTTATTTAGTTTTTTGTAAATAAGCTCCTTACCTGGCATACAGCTGCTTGGAGCATTGCATCAAAACCCCCTTCAGGTGTATCAATATTCCCAGAAATTTTTTGTTTATTCACTGCATTTCTGAATTCTGCTATATTGTCAGTCAGGGATAGCACATGAATATAACCGTGAGGAGGCATACAATCTAAATTGTAATCACTGTATAGAAACAAAACAAATCAAAAGTCTAACACATTCTTTATTTTCCATTTGAAAGAGATGAAAATATTGCATCTTCATTAACCCATAAAATCCTGATATTAATGAAGATGTAAATATGCACTGGATAAGGAATACTTAAAAAAAGAATAACTGCATGTAAGATTAAGTTTAGTGGAAATTAGTTCTAATTTACTACAAAAATGTATTTTTTTATTTTATGGAATTTTATGTAATATAACAGTTAATATAGTAACAGTATATATAGAGTGTTTCTGTAGAGAACAAAAAGAAATGCAACGAGAGTGATAGTATGATCTCAGGGAGTATATTTTGGAATATCTGCAGTGGTACAGCTTTGCTTTTCATTATCCTGAGAAAGGACTATCACACCACAACATTAAGATCCTTTAATAGCTTCATACATAGGCTACTGGATCAAACAATAATAAAATTGAAGTTCCTACATCCACTAATAGTAAGTAAATGTACATAAAATTAATGTTGATATTAGTAACAGTTACCTCATTAAGGAGAAGCAAAACTCCATTTTCAGTAACATCATAGTTGTAAATGAAACTTTTTCAAACAATGCATAAGGGAGAAAGTATGATGTCTGACATAAGTAAGCCAGTGTCAGAGTACTCAGACATGTCACTGATCTGGGACCCATTTATGGCAGTGATTTATGGCACAAGTTGAAGTGCTCATCTGATTCAGAGGTGCTGAGCAGGTTTCAACTCTCTTAACTTCTGCTGCCTACAGTGTAGGCAACCAGTTTGTAACCTGCCCTCCTCCAACTCAATTTGCAGTCAATGAAGAGAAACTGGCATTGCAAGGATTAATACCTCTGGAGATGTCTACTTTTAGGCAAAACGAATCATGACCTTGAAATGCTAATCCATCTCCATGTATAGATGGTCTAGAGGACTGCTTTTACATAAATATTCATATCTATTGAATGACTTCTACTACTAGTACCCAATTCAAAAACCACTGAAATCAAAAAAGGTACTTCAGAGAACTTTGGATCATGTCTTCCCAGGAAGGATTGTAACAAGTAAGAAAGTATGAAGAATTAATATTCACTTTTCCAAGTATTATGGTTTACACAGTTTTGAATTTGTTGTGAATAATCTTGGACTCCAGGGTGTTTTGGAAGCGATCCCTTACTTTATATAAGTGTTGAACACAAGGTATATAAGGCACGTCATCAAAAAAGAAATGCAGGCCAGAACATCTTTCTATTTAAAATGGGAGTGCATTGATGTACCAACTGTGGAATTAGATCAAAGGATCACCTTTGTTCATTAAATGAGCTGAAAGTAACCACACCATGTTAACAAAAGTAGTTTTAAGAAAAGAGTTAATGAATACATGACCATACACCAGAAGGTACATAGGTCAGAAAGTAGGAACCTTTGTGATGAATCTAGGCAACATATATCCAAAATAACCAAAACCACAACAGTTGACTTTAAAATAAAATGCAAAACATATTCAAATATTCCAAAGCAGCATGTTTTTTGGCTTATTTTGCTAAAGAAAACACAGAACATTTTTTCTGATACAGAAACAGTTTTCTCAAATCACTCGTCAGGTATTTCAGAAGTAATCATTGTATAATAATTTTTAGCATTTCCTTAGGAACTCTGTCAAAGAACCATATGTATAAGGAAACAAAGACAGAACTTTAAAAATAAATATGCATAATGTATTTTATGCAATTAAATAACATCTCAGTGCTACAGTAAATATAAAAAGACTACATACCTGCATTGGTTATGGATTCTACCTGGATGAATGCTAATATAAGGTGACACAGTTTTATCCACATAGGATCCAAATCCAAGTCGAAAATCAAGAGAAATATTTGCCATCTTTTTAGATAAAGCAAATCCAACAGAATTTAACTTTTCTATATTGTTGTGCATGGAGGCTGAGACATCAACTAAATAATAAAGATCCACAGGGTATTTCTCCAGAGGACGAACTTTTAACATAAAGTTTGCTTCACTTCCTGATTAAAAAAAAAAAAGTTTATTTACTATTTTTGAATGGACATGATTAAAATAAATTTATGTTTGTAGCAAACTCAGCACAAAGTTGTTTGTGCCAGCAAACAGAAGAACAAACAAACAAGAATCTCTCCCAAGAGTAAACAGAACCTTGAAGAATCATTCAAAAATAAGCCAAAAAGTGGTGTTTTGTAGAACATCTTGTTTTTATTTCTTGCAGGAGCACTGTGTGGTTTATTGTAAAACTCTGACTTCTCCCCATTATCTTTTAAATTCATGGTTATGCAATCCCTTTGGCATTATACCAAAATGCAGTTATGGCTCACAAAGAATACAGATCTGCATACAAATTGGGGTCAGTCACTTCAAGGTTGACACTTCAAAGTATGTACGTGTATCCTGCAAATAGTTTGTCATATGACAGAATCTAAAACTATATGTGAACCATAAAGACAGCACAGACTGAAAAACTCGTGTAAATAATGTTTCAAGTTTATCACAATATACTTCCAAAGATTTGAGGAGAAAATTCAGTATGATCAAAATATTTTTTTAAAAAAATAGGTTTTAATATAAAAAGAATTCCATCTCTTGGTACATTCAAAACAGAACTCTAATTTGAGGATTATAAATGTCTGTCTCTCCTGCAGAACCACATCACATTCTCATACGTAATAAAAACATTAATGCTTTAGAAGCTGCTAAAACTAGTCCTCACATTTTTGCTTGTCTAATATTCTGTAATGTCAGCAAGAAGAGTGAAGTGACTGGAATACAGGCAGAGTAGGTACAGTAATGCAGACTTCAAATTGGTCATTATTTTATGTCACCTAAAGTGTGAGCTCACAAAAGAAATAGTTTAGGATCTTCGTGTGATGAGTGCAGAATCTAATTTCAGTATTATGCTATGAAATATAGCAAAGGGTAGGAGGAAGGAATATGTTATAGAACTATGCAGGTGTTGAATAAAAAACTATCAAAGAGTACATGTAACAAAGATCTGACCCAGATCTTTACAAAGTAATTTCTTCCAATATACAAAGCAATTTCTTTCAATGGTCTTTGAACACAATCCACCTGAAAATGTGAGGCTTTGTCTGTATCAGGTCTTGAGTGAGGAAAACAATTTTAGTGTGCTGTAACTAACATATTTCCTCTTTGCCAAAGTAAATTGAATTACTTTTTGTAAATTACTCTTGCAGGTCTCCAGTTTGTACATAGTGAGATACTGAATGCAGCTTTTATTTTTTCCCACATAAATCCTGAATGTTGGGCATATGCAAACAGTGACAAAACAACCCCAAACAGTATCAAAACAAAAACATCTTTGTCTGTATGATTACACTGTATCAAATGTCTGTTTTGAGGCAAAACTATAGCTGCATATCTGTGTATTTCCCTGGGGCAGAAAATATGGCCAAGATATTTATATATAAAAAGCTATTCTTCTGGAGCCCTTGGAATTTCAGTCTTCTGCCTCCCTGATGTAAGAACTTCTGCAAAGCATATAGAACCCCAAACTTAGTTTCAATATTTACTTGCAAAAAGGTTAATGAAACCAAATTTTAGAAAGCAATTTTTTTTCTATGAATCCACTGTGCCTTTGGAAATAAATGTGATTACAGATAGAGCTAGAGCTAGCTCAGTGTCTGAGACCATTTGTCAGTAAGAAGCAGAGTATCAATCACTTCTTTGGAAGGACGGTGGGGAAAGGTGAGAAAGTGCTGATGTTACTTTGTCAGTTTTATTATTAAAAAGATTGAAAACCAGAGTTCCTTTGTGCTTTATACTCATGCAGATCCTTTTTCCCTTTTAGTTGACAGAAAATTATCTTCTTTTATCACTGACAAAATTATCAGTGAAGATCATCAAGATACTTCTGATCACTTAATGTTTTCCTACCAAAGACTTATTCCTCTTAACTATTTTTCTCCAATTATTGTCTGTAAAAAAATTTATGATATGAAAGATAACTCTGCATCCCTTTATATCATCTTCCACTTCTGCTGTTGGCTACAGCTATTTTAGAGAGAGAACATACACTGACTTAACTAGAGTTCAGCTGAGAGCAAATAGAGGTTTACTAGAAAATCTCAGATTCACAAAGGAACTTCTATTAGGGCCAAGTGTCTCAAATTCTATAAATTAAATGTTATGCTGTGAATACCAAAGTCTTCCTTTGAAGGACTTTAAGAAGTCCTTTCTTATATAATGGCGGTGGTGTCTCTGTAGTTGTCTAATCAATGAACTTAACAGTAACCAAATAATCAAGAAGTTGATCAAATTATGAATTTAGGAATTGTAACTCAATTTATTTTCAGTAAGGAGTAGTTCATACACATGTAAGGGAAAACTGTTTGTGTAAGTGGCTAAAGAAAAAGAATCAAGAAACTACATCAGAAAACAGAAAAGACTACTAAAATCCTTTCTCCACTTACTGCATTATTCTGACCTTCAGCTATTTTAAAAGAAACAGTTCTTGCTGAAGACCATACTTGAATATAGGAACAACACCATCACAGTCCTACAATATATTGTTATAGCACCATTCTTCAAAATAACTATTTGTGATGCTTCTTCACAAAATACCTGTACTTAAAAGTATTTTATTTAGTCTAAATTTACTATAATATCAATGTGTTAGAGACGACCCAACCTGGATGCAGCTGGACTGAAACTTTTCCTGGTGTCACTTGTGTATTTGTTTCATGGTCACTGGGTATTGTGACATGAACTGTGGGGTTTTCAACCAAATCTGATCGGCAGCCTCTTTTCATTAAGTTGAAAACAATGTCACAGCGTCCCTTCTGTGTTGTGCCAGCCATGAAATCCTGTTTAATAAGAGACAAAAAGTACTAAACAGTCCGAGCTGAAGAAAACCCTGTAATATCTTCAAAGGAAAGAGAAAAACAAAATAATAGTCTTTGAAACAATAAAATATGCTACTATAATTGCAAAAAGTGTAGAACAAGTTCATGAAGCCATATGTTTTTAATAAGGGCAATGATGACATATTTAAATTAGAAGTTAAACCTAATTGCCATAATAACTTTTTTCTACAAAAGACAAAACTTTTTAAGAGAAACAGGATCTTGCATAATCAGAACAAGCCGACTTTGGAGAAAAAGAAAACTACATACTGTCCCTAAGTCTCTAAAAAATGTTCTGTGCCATGCTATGAATTTGCTGTAGTTAGAAAGTTTCATTTCCGTGACATCAAAACAGGTTAGTTTTCAGAGGAATCCACTGGTAATGTTACTCAGGCTAATATTTATTAGTAGCACCAGAAGCCAGCTTTACATTTAGCTAACCTGAGTTTGTCTATCACACTACACAAAATCCAAAGACCTGCTGGACTACATCATTTCAATTCCCAGAAAAAGGAAATCGTGGATTACAGGACTGGACAGTTTAAGATGCCACCAATATCAAAAAGCCCTTGTAGCAACAGAAAAGTGATTAGTAGTAGGATGATCTCAGAAGCAGCCCATCCTTTGTTGTATTGACAGGACAAAGTTGCCAAAATTGTGCCAGAATGGTCCAATACAAAATTCCTTCCTGATCACAAATCTGATGATTAATATGATTCTGACCATGAAAAAAAATATACAAGATCCTTTGTATTCTTTCAAAGTATTGGTCCATCTGAGCCACAGCTGGAGACCAAACAATGGACAATCTCCGATATTTCAGAGGCAAATGGGTAAAATAAACAACCCGAAAATGCCTACAGCCAATTCTATGTAGATAATAAATAGTCATCCAGGCCCTGAAAAGATCAGAAGAAGCCCCTGAAGAATGAGATTTGACAGTCATGTATCTTGTTTTTCAAGTTTCAGCTGATTTTTGTAGTCTACCTCTGACATATTTTTTCCATAATCTTCTTTATTGTAGAAAACAGACTATTTTTTTTTTAGGTTACTGCTATTTATATACCCTTTTGGACATATATATTTCAAAAAATTAGATTTTTAAATATGTAAAGAATTTAGCTACTCTCATGGTTATCAGTAATGGCTGATAGATTTGCAGCATTTTCTGAAGTCCACTGTGTGTGGGTATAAATTCAACGCATCTCAAGGGTTACTCGGGCCTTCTTTTCTCACTAAAAATATTGTCCAGATGAAGCAAGCATGCTAAGCTGAAAACTGCTTCTGTAACTTTACTCTGGAATATTTCTATCTGCATTAACATGGGTTTTGCTGTTCCACAACCATGAATGTTGTGTAGGTGAACCAGCTGTCTAAGAGGTTTCGACAAAGCCCTGGCTTCCATGAACAGCTCTCAGAATTGACTTGAGAAGTTATGCAAGAGAAGAGAAGCAGAATTGAAACCTGGTCAAATCTGTGCACCTAGTTAGAAGGAGACCTATTGCAGCTCCGTAGCGTTGGAAAATTAGCAAATGCTATTCTGTGATAAATGCAGAGTGAGGAGGATAAAACTGAGCCCGTTGTAAGACAGAACATGAGACCACAATAATGAACCTCTCAACATTGATCCATTGTGCCATCTACACATGCCTTAAGGTTCCTCTTGGAAAACAAGCCCTCCTGCCTCCACTTATCCTTGCATTACTTATCCTTATACCTGCTGCAGATTAAGTTAATTGTTCCAAGACACAATATCTCAGATAAAGTTACCCAGTGCCTTATGCCTTACACTCCTTATCTCCTCCAGACACACCCTAGGAACTTATCTAGATTCTCTGCTAACCTGAAAGCTACTACCAATAATTTGCATGTGACCTTAAAGAGCATATGAGCTTGTAATTGTCAGTGATATTCTTCAAAACCTTGCTCCTCTGAAGTACTTAAAATGGTCCAGCCTTATCTGAATCGCGCTATCGAGTGGGGATTTTTTTCTGTCAAACAATACCAGAAATTTCCATATTCTTACAGTTTGCAAAGCAACAACAATTTCAGAATAATTCTTGCTACCTAAGATCTATCTTCTGTGCTAAGTCTCAGAACTGATAGTTTCAAGTGTCAAAATAAGAAAAGCATCACTTTTTCCATTTGTGACAGGGTCATAATACACAGTGAAGTCAAAGTCAGCTCCACTGTTAGTATGACCTTTTGCTAAATGCAGTAGATATATATGTATAGACTTGTTTTCATATACAGTGAGGACTTACTATAGATTACTGATAAGTAATTTTCCTTTTGAAGCCAAAAACTGTTGAACTCTCAAAGCTACTCTAAGTCTGCCAGAGTTGCCTACAAAGCATATGGAATGCATTAAATAGTTCTCACTTTATTTAAAATTACTGCAATTTTCCAAATAAAAGATTGCATTTTCTCCTTTGGAAACAAAATATATTTCACATGATTTCTCAGGTTCTGTCTCTAGGGGTCATTTAGAGATTTTCCTGCTATTTCTCACTATAATTTTCTCAGTTTAGAAGTTTTTATTGTTATAAAGATCAGAAGCAGCTAAAATATAAAGTAAAATGTAAGTAACCAAAATAACATACCTCTTGAGCACACCATCCACACTCAGGGCCCAAAGCAAGACACTTTGTGCATGTTACTGCATTTGAAGTGGCACATCTGTTTTCCGCTGCAATGAAATACAAACCCAAACGTTAATGATTTATGATGATACGTGAAATTGTAAAATACGTAATTCTAAACCGAGATTTCAAAAATTACTTCACCAGATTTGGAGTGATGACAATGTATTCAAACAGAAGTAAAACAGAACAAAGACAGTCCGGTGAGGGAATACTCACAGCAATTTTTTTTATCTATGGTCTAGAACTATATGCACAGATCAAATAAACTACATTCTCAAGGTCAAATTTTTAAAATCCTGATTTAGAATAATTCTGAAGTGAAAGTTTATCTTTGGCATGTACCCTACTGATTTACTGCCTAATGGGAAAAAATTTACCAGGTAGCTTATCTTCTCACAGATATTTTCCTTTTAAGTCATTTACACTTGACTGAACCATGCATTATTCACTCCTCATGGAACCCAAAATATTTTCTCACCTTCTATAAATATTACCCTCTGCATTTTCTGGAATGAATAGTTTCCCAGAAGAGGAAGATTTTTTTTTTCCAGAAGCAAATACAAATGCATCCAACATTACATGTGTCACAGATTGAAGACACATCATTCTGTACTAACAACTGCAAAAATTGTGCCTACTTGCAAGTCTACTAGGAAAGTCCTTTATATCCTTTTCACATCTTTGTTTTATAGTTCATTGCTCAAGTTACTACTCTTTCCTATGAAACTTTGGCAGTCAGTGTCGAGAAGAAAAGAGTCTTTTCAAGGGATTTGGTCAGCTCAACTTGAATGTCAGTAGTAGCATATCCTTTCAGCACACCGATCACAAGTCTCCTGTAGACCAGGGCACCTCTAAACAAGGTGGAAGTCACCTGCTAAGAGTTATATATAAGGCACAAAATAGGACCCTTCAGTGCACAGTGCAATGTTTAACAACACCGCTTTGTGGCATGCAATATTAGAAAATATACCAGGAACAAAATAAAATTAATTTCCGTATGCAAAATGCTGTTAAGTGGTCCACTGTGATAATGTGTGTATAATCATATCAAAACAGTTTGATGAAAGGTTTGGTTTTCATCCAAAGTTTTGGCTACATGTACTGTCTCACAGATTGTTTCTTTCCAAACTGCAATAATAATAATAATAATAATAATAATAATAATAATAATAATGCAAATCATCTCTCTTTTTAGAGTAATGAGAGCAACTTCTCACAGTGAAAAGTATTAGGAACTAAAATATATCTTTTTTTTTATCTTTACTTAGTTGATTTCAGCTATGGATTCAAAGATGAGATCCTGTATCACATAAACAGCTAGTCCTCAAATGTCACTTAGAATGACTGCTGATCCAAGGAACTAATCACAGCTTTCAAGTTACTATTATCAACAGCATATATACCATTATCAGTACTAGCAAGCCTCATACAGCACAATTGCAGCATTATACTGATAACATACAGGCTAATGACAATTTAAATAATTTCAAAGTTCAGACCTATATTTCTATATCAACTGCTACTGACAATTTTTGCCATACAGGCAATGTGAGAAAAAAAAAAGTAAATGAAAGGGAGAGATACAGGCATGATATAAACAGCAAGTTGAAAAGCAGCCCAGTAGGGTGCTGGAGCATAGGGAAAACTGATTTCAGGGTGGGAGAGGTGGGTAGAAATAAATAAAAGAGGAGTCGTTAGAGAGAGAGAAAAGAACAAGACAAAATCCAAAAGGTTTTTGTTTGTTTTTTTGGTTATAAAAACAAACACAGTAAGTTTTACTTGGCTGTGAAATGAGAGCAACATCATTTGCCACTGACACAATAAAACTTCTTTGCATTTATAAGAAGATGGCACTGCACTTTGTGTTCTGCAGTCTGAAAGAGCAGACCTGGAGGCCATAGAAAATGTTACCACATACTGCATGAGAGAAAAAGGATGAAGATTCCAGGTAGGAACTGACATGCACAGGGTTGTAGAGCTCACCACAGATCCCTTTCTAGACAGTATTAGTAAAGTGCAAAGACACAGAACGAAAAGTTGTTGAAGGAATAAAAATAAAAGGAATGTAATTGTTCTTGGCACACAAACATCCATCTTCACCTGGATATCAAACTCAGCAGAGATGAAGAACATTACAAGAAAAAGCGAGTAAAGTGATAGATTCAGTAAAAGTGTCAAAGGACAGGATAAAATATAAGTTGCTGATCGGCAGCATAATAGTGGCTAAAGATGATCGTGGGGCAAAACAGGGAGGATATGACATGAACATTGAAGTTACTCAGTCAACACTCACTGTAATAGACAGAGCTGTTCTGATAAGAATAAATAGTTGGCAGGAAAAATGAGAGACCTGTGTTTCTTGCTATACAGATAAGAAGTAAGTAAAATTAATTTGTCATCCTTGTAATCAGTAAATCAAAGCCAAAATAATAAGTATGGCCTAATTAACTTCCTGCAAAAATATCTGAGACTCCTTTCTTAAAATATGTAATCCTATCTGCAAAACACACACTTTAAATGCCATAGACCATGTAACAAAACATTACCACGTAACATGCACTATATATCTTTGTGCCATATTTACAAATGCATTGGAAAACTGATTGAAAAATAACGGTCCTATTTTTTTTTCTGTATGGTTAGTTTATTGAATCTATTGAGACTTGATTTAGTTTACTAATACAGCCTGTCTGGTAAAATGTAGGGGTGTCTGTGTGCCTTTGTAAACTGCTAAGTGGAAGAAAAGATCTTAAAATCCAGTTTGGGTTTTCAGTGTGATCATGGCAGATGAAATGCTTTAACAAATGAGATATACAGTACTGTTGGATGCAAATGTCTTTGCTGATAACTATCCAGTCTCAAGAGCTCCATTTTCACACCATGAAGTCATGGATTGGCAATTCACAAGCTTGGTACCATTGGCTCAAAAAGTTGGATTTTTTTTTTAATAAAGAGAAACTTGAAAAAGTTTTATTAATTTCTTTTTTATTATTCTGGCTACATTACTACTGTGGTTCACAAGTACGTAGACCCTTATAGCAGTAACATTTATGGACATGCTTTCATTCACCAAATATTTATTATTTACTTGTAAGCTTACTCTAAAACCATAACTGATCTAGTATAAACTTCTCAGTTTCCTTTAAAAAACCATGCTAAAGCAAGAAACATTTTTTTACGAGTTGGCTCAAAAAAGAACTGAGATTTTTCCTGCCACTTCACCAAAAACAGAGTCCAGACAAGACTGAGTTACTGTTCAGTCAAAGCTAAGGGCAAGTTTCTACTGGCTTAGTTATAACTGATGTATGCCAAAAGGTATTTTCGACAAGGGCCAAATTCTGTGCTGGGAATTGCACAGGCATATGCATATAAAAAGAAGTGAGTACATCAGGTTATAATACACTTTTCCAGCCTCCTCCAGAAAAATACAACCAGGCTCCAACGACTGCAACTATTTACAGTGATTACAGGTGTGGCAAGTCTAAGCTATCTGGAACAAGAAGGATCAAGACAAGACAAACATAATTTATGTTATAATCACATCCTGACTCCTTATTATGAAAGTAACTTTATCACAATCAGGGTATTTATCTCAGAGATGGAATAACAATAATGCACACTGCCATTTGAGAGGGGATGTTAAACAGGTTTTCAAACAGTCAGTACTTCGTTCAAGTACAGCCAAGAATTTGGATTTGTATCAACTGCACTGTTGGTACACGTTTGTGCTGGTTTTGGAGGGTGTACCATTTGCTTTCTTAAAAAAGAGCCAAAATATAACTAGCAGCTTATACTCCTTGATCATGGTCCTCAGACTGCTGAACGTTTGTTAAAGCAAGAAAATATGAAATTATCTAGCCTCTACAGAGCTGTTTCTCCTTAAATTCTGCATCCAATCTTGTTCTAGGGCAGCAAGAAGCCAGGCTGTCCTTCTCCACAGATAATGAGGCCTTCAGTAGCTCATGTGTAGCATCATCCATGAGGAAAGCTGCAGCTTTTATGCAGTATACTGCAGTTACCTTTCTGTCTTCAAGGAGCAAAGCAACATGACTCCTGCAGAGGGGACAGACAGTGACTGTCCCAGCTAACACACGGCTTCCCAATTCACTTTGGCTGAATGTGCAGGTGCAATGAAAAGCATTATAAAAGTGCTACAGAAGAGGGATTATTTTTCCGTGATTATTGTGTCTGACAGTTACTTGCTCAGATTACAAGGAAAAAATGAGTGCCTGTGCTTAGCTGCCAATCCTAAAACCTAATCCTGAAATTAGGGATTTTTCTCCCTTTTTTTTTTCCAAACAAGCAATAATTCTCTCTAACCCTTTGCGCCATCCTTTAAAAGCACACTATGTCACCACCAGATTTGTCAAGAAGATTACAAGGTACGTCTCAAAATCAGCTTTAAGGGGTACTCAGCCTTGCCCAGAAAAGGAGATTTCAGCTTGAATACTGTACAGTTATTATGCTTTATAATAAAATCCTAAGATTACTTGAGCAAAAATACCAAACAACTTTTCTTCCCCTTTTTTTTTTATTACATATGGGTTTTGTTAATTAGTTTCACTTCTCTATTAATGGCTGTGCATTTAAGTTTCACTACTCAGATAGAACCTAAGCTGAACACTGATTTGAAAATGTTTTTTTACCAGCAAGAGAAGCAGCAGTAACTAAAACTCTGCATGGAAGAGACACACTTTTGCTAAGCAAATGAAGATGTCTAAAAAAGAGGTGTAAAACATGACTGGCACTGTCAAATTCTGAGCACTGAGAAAATACTTCTGTAAACCTGGCAAGTGAGTAAAAGTACCTTTCCATTAAAACAAACAAGCAAAAAAAAACCAACACAAAAAATCCAATTAAGCCAAACAAAAAAATAAACAGTTACAGTGTTCCTAAAAAGAAAAATGGAGTATACTGGAAGAGAGAAACCATAATGTGGTTACAGAGAAGGTAAGAGATAGAAGTGACATATAAATAAGAAGTATATGTGCACATCTAGATAAATGCAGAGAAAAGAATCACTAGTGAACAAGTCCTGATGACT